GTCAAACCTACACTAGCAAGGAGATCGGGCTGAAACTATAGCTACAAGCTATCCAAGGATGGTACTATAGAATGTCACCTCAAGGTAGGCCTAGTGGCGTCATCTCTTGGTTAGGCCGGAAACTTATCAATCCACCCTCGTATTGTAATAATTTATGACCGATAAATGACGGGGTAGGAAAGTTTTTTTAATAACTTACCCGACTGTGACATCGAAAATGTTACTGCCAACGGACGAGGACACGGCCATATCACCGAATCCCTTTCTCGCTACAATGACGGAGGTAATTAAATCAGGAATGGAAGTACCCGCTGCAAGGAATGTTAAACCCATCACTTCCGGTGGTATTTTTACCGTTTCTCCCACTACAGTGGCCCACCATACCATTAAGTAGGAATAAGCAGCTATCCAAGCGATACTCCCGAGAAACGTTACAGGAAACCACTTTTTACCTTAAACGAAAATAAAACTTTTGATTGTTGTGATCATCTTAGAAGTAGCTTTCTTATCACAGCTTTTCTTTCAAAACTGAATCATCAAAGAGGTATTAATTAATAATAGCAATAGCAATCTATAAAATTTAGTATAAATTGCAATGTGGTCTACATCGGACAGTACGGAAGTACGATAAAAACCAGTCTTAAAGAACACCAGAAACAACAAATGTACAGGGATTTAAAACCGTTACATTCAAAATTAACGTAAAACTGATAAGCAATGCTGACACTTAATTTTCTATAAACAGCTACGCGATCCATCTTGCTGCGTTAAACTGTTCTACTGTCTGATCTACTAGATTAGCAGTTTACATTGACGCGTCATGTACAGTGTCAACTTAAACTCCACTACACCCTGCTCCGCTGAGATAAAATTTCGGTGGACTATATCCAGAACTGCATCATAGCTCACTACAGTCCATTCAAGAATAAAACTCACCCCTAACCAATCTACCTCTGATGCAGCACCAAGCTTTACTGCGTCAAATCGACTTTCAATTCATCCTACTATGTCAAACTGTTTAGCTGCCTGTTTCGCTATATTAACAGTTTACTGATGCGTCAATCCAAGCTCTACTATAATCTATTCCACTGCGATAAAACTTCAATCTTTGATGCAACATGAAGCTTTACAGCGTCAAACGTTCTTGCCATCGTGCTGCGTCAAACTATTCTACAGCCTGCTTTGCTACATTAGCAGTTTATATCCAAAACTGCTTTTGAACTCTGTTACTTGGACTACATGCTAATATTCTCAGAAAATGCACTCCAATCAGTATAAAAACCCATTACAATCTATTTCATTGACTCGGGAAACAATTCCAACCGAAGACGACCTTTGGACCCGAATCAGAACAGCATGAGTTCACCATAATCCGTTTAAACTCCTCAAAAACTCACTAGAATCCATTCAAATGGATCAATAACACTGTAATCCTGCAGACTGTTAATTTCCATCTATTCCGTATTTGTAAGTCAAAATTCACTGTAATTCTTTATAATTCTTTCTAATTCGTTTAAATGCATCTAAAACTCATTTTAAATTCGTATAAATTTTTGAGTAGAAAATCAGACTGCAATCCATTGGAATGTATCAAAAACTCACTGTAATCCTCGTCGAGATTTAGTTTGGTGTATCAGAATTCGCTATAATCCGCAATGATACATTAAAAGCTCATTAAAATCTTGTAGGCCTTATCAAATTTCGCTGCCATTCCCGCTGCTGCATCAAAACAAAATACATTGCCGTCAATTAATGCTTCAAACTACAAAATAAGATAACGGATTCTTCCGTGCAAATCCAAACTACTGCCAAAAAAAAAATAGAAAACGATGGTGTTCAAATTACCTACAGCATATCGTATTTGAGGTTTAGAACAAAGCAATGATCAAACGAAAGCGACCAAAAATAAAATGCAAAACGTGGTATAATGCAGCATATAAACGTGCTTGACTTTTTTATGAATAAATCACCTATAACGATATATATATTATTCATATGTAACACGGTGTGACGCCACGTTTTCTTGCCAGAAACGATTCATCATTTCTTCCATTCCAACAACGAACATGTGCGCGAGATAATCTTAGGATCATCGTATGTAGTAATTAATAATAATAATTAACACTGATCGATGAACGTTGTTTAATTATTTAATTATTTACTATGCGCCCCCTGGTGCTGACACAAAAGACGAATGAAGGACGACGTCCTGATGGATGACATATTATGAAAATTACAAAAAAACGCATACACGGTATGTCGTATGATAACAACAACAATAATGACAAGAATAATAATTAATTAAAATGATAATCGAAAGTTTGACGATAATGCGTAGTGTATTGTAACATTTAATGTTTCCTGATTTGGATATCCCCCCTTTTCCCTCGTCGGTCCGTCTGTTTGTCGGTTGTTTTTTACTTAGAAAGGACACGTAAGATGGTCNGAGATACTGAAAATTTTTGTCCAGGGAGGAAGATGAAGACCAAGACTATATTATTCTTATCTGGTCTTGCGTTTTCTCATCGGCCACGGAAAAGTTGTGTTAAGTATACATAGAAACTTGTCGAAAGTACCGATTTTTGTATTCATAACAACGAAAACAAACATACCTATCTGTACTTTGCTGCTACAAAATCACAATAAATTTCGACCGAGCGTTGCTTCGTGTAAATAAAATTGGTCTTATACTTTATGACTTTCTAATTATGAATTTGACGTCAAAATGAGAATATTATACATAGAGTGCTAGGTGTCCACAATAAATTATTTTAGTAGACCAGAAAAGGTTAGACGTCACATATTTTTTAACTTACGTATGTTCAACTGCGACCTATTTAGACACGACGTATGCCTTCATGCAACTTTCCACTAAAAGTGTACCATTCACGCGAAAATACGTATGTGGCAGATAAGAAACGTCTGTTACTTGCAGGACTAATCAAAGGACCTGATCAGACCTACCGTAGGTCTTGTTTAAAAATAGAACTGTGGAACAATAACTCTTGTAATCTATTATTGCAACTACCTAGTATTTGCTACTTTTTGTGGTATCCAATATTGCTCAACAAATTCCTTTTCTAATAATTGTCAAATTGAATTAACAAGCATGTAACCAAACAAATTTATATTGACCACTAAAAATTATCGATTCGGTTTGATTACATACACTGTTGTACAGTAAAAGCAATGATGACATCGAAAACATCTTGATCCTGGTGATGTTTTCTATTTTCAGCAATTTTATTTGATGATATCGCTTTTTTTCATCGCTACAAGGATGAGTATTTTGATATACTTCATTTACTTTCTCTAGCGATGGGCCCCTTCCAATCCAATGTCTTAGATGCGCTAGCAAAATTGTAGGTAGGGAGAAAAAGCTCATTATACTCTCGACTCTTGTTCATTTTTTTTTTTCGTACAGTACCTGCCAAAAGTTTTGTTCAATCATGAATAGTAGTACGAATCGAAAACAAGCGTTAAAGCCTTTAATACGTCTTCAAATATAAATCAACATCTCGTTGATATTTTCAGTAGTAAATGGTCCAATAACAGCTCATTTGAGCAATGCAATTGTATTGGATAAAGTGGTCAATTTTTCCGTGCAGTACTGTACGGATTATACGCTCCTCACCGGTTAAGAGTTTGGTCGAGAGTTGTCTCCTTTCTTTTCTGGCCTAGTGCTGTTCTTTTCTACTTTGCGCCGGTCAAACTGAAGGTCACATCGCTACAGAAAGTAAACGAAGTATACCATCTATGGATAATGCCCTTTGACTGAACACCATAAATTTAATTATCAATTTGTCATAATGTGAACAACTTCGTTTTAAAATTAATTAAATTGTGGGTGTCAGTATGTAAATTCTTGTGAACAATACGATGGGCTGATGTTGTTAAATTTATTAACTCTCAAATTTTTGCCAACATTCTTGACTTCATCAGGAGGTCACTACGAATATATAAATGAGAAGAGAAAATTTTATATTAAATAATTAATGTAACTGTAACTGTCACTGTTTTGTTTAGAACAATAGTTTGTCTTCTAACAGCGCAGAACCTCATTTTCCTCCTGTATTGTCTTCAAATTTCATTCAAATGAGCTACATATTTTCATAGCGTAAATTGAAACATTGACGCATTCGAAATCCAATTGAGAATAGTTTGGCGTGACGATAAAGCATTCAGTGTAGACCATATTAACTCTCACGATAATGCGAATGTGTATTTTGCAGTGACAGCTAGTTGCTTTATAGGTCAGAGGTTTAATAATCGCTTTGATTTACAAGGAAAGTTTTCCAATAGCAGCTCGTTAATTCTGGAGGCAGACGTGTCAGTCTAGGATACGTGCCTACGTAGCATGGAGTCAACTTTTCACGAAACTTTATAGTTGCGATTAGTTAACGATCGGGTCGACGTTCAGGAACTCGTTCTTGTTATGATTTTTTGATTAAGAGCCGATTGTTTAATGCAGGCATTGCATAAAGTTTGGGATCAGTTAAAAAATGTAGACTGCAACGTTAAGAAAAGTAAAAGCTTTATGGCAATACCAAAGGGAGAACGAAATCTTTCTCAATATAATGATGGACAAAAGTCCATCAACGACTTAGTATTCGTAATTATTCTGGAGAAAATGATTTGTCAAACATTAACGAATTGACTATACCTACTGCTTGTAGTTATTCATTCATTCATTTTTTAGTCGTTAGAGATAAAAAAAACTTTTGGGTGTTTCATTCCCACCAGCCACTAATGTTGGTGGGCGGGCAGTCCCTCCGGACTACAGCGGAAGGTAGGGCGGAAGGCCGTCTTCAACCTCCTTTCAGGAATCGTGGGAATGGGTGGGTGGTGGTTCGGGTGAGAAAGATGAGACGGACGAAATGAAGACAGAAGAGAATGAAAGATTATCTGGGGAATATTACTGCCTCAGCATTTGCCTAAGTGATCCAAGGAAACCACAGAAAAACTTGGACCAAGGCAGACGGATCCGGAATCGAACCGGCATTCTCCCGAATGCCATGCCTCTCAGTGATACCTCTTGAATGTTCTTTTGCAAACAATAATAGGCCTATTTGGTCCCAATGGTCAGGTTCTGCAAAGGTCTTCGATGGCAACCACTTTCGTTAATTTTATTATCGATGCTCTTCAATTGTTACAGGAATTTCATAGCTCGAGGCAGAGTCATACTTTGTTGGGTTTTTCCCCTTGTTGGCTTCTGACTCGTATTCTTTTGTTGCATACAAGGCATTGGTGGTGACACCAGAACAATTTTTGATTTTGTCACATAATTTAGAGTTAGAGTTACGTTTTGTCCCTTTTCTTGTTAACTTGCGTTTTTAATTCATATTTTTTTCGTTATGCCTGTAGTTGTAATCCGTTATTTCATTTGTAAATAAAGTCTGTATATATGTAGTTCCATTCAGTTTGTTAAAACCAACATTTTGAGAAAATACTG